TGAAGAGGACAGGTTATCCAGGTCATCAGAAAGAGATCTCCGGTTCTCGGTCAGCGGAGCGTATCTGTTCTGGATTGGCACACTTGGTGGTTTAGGAGGATTGTTTGTAGTTCTCCCTTTAGCAGCTGTCCTAGGCTGTTTCCTAGTATGAATAGGGGTTGAAGAGGCGCTCTTCCTGGGTGATAACAATGCAGGCCAGCTGGTCGCATCACAGATTTCAGAGGGCTGGGCTCTGCCTGTTGTTCGTCCTCCCAAATCCCATGGAAATTATTTACTCTTAGGTTTTGCACTCAGAGAGTTCCAGGGAGGACTACCACTTGTAGATTTATTACCCGGTACACAGCCCTCCTGTTCCTTGGAATCCTTGTAGCTGCTAACTAGCTGTGAGTTAGCATGCCTTTGTCCATTCTTTTGCAACACTGGTAAAGTGGTGTCATTCAAACCTAGTCCATTCACTTCAACGTTAACTTCCTACCGTTGCATTTTCATTTCCAACACGGCCATCTTCTGTAGAGAACGGAGGCATTTTACTGATAACTAGCTTAAGCTAAATAGCATGCAGTACCAGGCTTTAGCTGTTGCTAGGCCACGCTACTATAAGACTGAGGTCGTCGTAAAAATATTGAAATATGGCTGAAACCCTCCATCTATTTAAGACGAATAACTGTCCCAGTAATAAGTTAATGTCCAGGAGCCGCTGCTCGAAGTTTTCAGAAAAGAAAGAGGCAAGAGCAAGCACACTTTGCTGTAAGTACTTAAGAAGACTGTCAAGAACTGTCTATTTGTCTGTCTGCAGAGTGAGTGTGTTTGTAAAACTGGTTACATGGGGAACGGCATCGAGTGTGATCTCATTAACCCGTGCCTCGAGAAAAACGGAGGCTGCCACGATTTGGTAAGGACACGCACGCACGCACGCACGTACGCACACACACACGCACAATAACACACGCACGCACACACGCGTTTGTGTCATATTGTGTCAGCAGTGAAAATATTATTGCATTTATTCACCTAGAAATATAAGGGTTGCTTTTTGAATGTATGTCATGCTAATTGTTTAAACAGGTATGTGCCACAACAACATATGAAATCCCAGAAACACGTTAAATCAATATCCCAAATGAGCTGTTCACAAAAATATTATTAAATACATACAGATTAGCACTGTAAAAATATTTGTTTTCTCTTCTACTAGACTTCCTCTCGATAACTGGTTAATCTTATTTTTTCACACATAAGCACACAGCCTTGGTGCATCATCCATATTAACAAAAACAATATCTATTTATATCTTGCTAAACATCATACATGCCACATATTAATTTGTGTTCATTGTGTTATTGCTGTGTCCTCTTCCATTCCCATGCTCCCTTTCTGCTGCACACTGCCAGGCAAAGTGTGAGTTCTCTACGGGGGGAACACACACCTGTACCTGTCCTGATGGATACGCTGGAGATGGAACCCTCTGCTACGGGACGTTACCGGACGTGAGTATTTACATGTATAATTATGTCCCTTCCTCTTTTCCATACACACATACTCATACAGTTTTTAAAATCACATTCCTTTTATTTACATTTCATTATTGTCTATTATTTTGCAATCACTATTAAATTAACATTATAGTTTGTGTATTTATTTTTCTCTATCTATAAAATTGTAATTTATTTAATTTCATCCCCTCTGTCACCCACTTTCAAAACTCTCACTATACTAAAGTCACTGGTTGCCCAAATAATACTTTTTAAAAAAAGGGGAAGATTGAAGCTGCTACCAAAATAACTCTGTTTTTGTGTTTGTAGGAGCTGGAAATGAATCCATTGCTGATGCATTTCAAACAACTGGTGTGTGTGAGCTCTTTAGTTCCTCACTTGTTCAAGTTTCTGTTTTAGAAATAACTACATTTAACATGCTTGGTGATTATACTAGTTCACTCATAAAGTAATGCAGTGTTGTCTCAATTTACATGTAGAAACAACCTGCTGACTTGGTAAAGAATTGAGCCAAAACCATAAAACCTAGGCTGTACGCTCTTTCTGTCAACGTAGATGTAGCTGAAAAGATAAAATCCGAAGATAACACAATGTATATTTTTGTGTGTGTGTTTTTAGAGGCACAGGGACCTCACTGAGGACCTGAGTGGGAACCTCACACTGTTGATTCCGGTCAGAGGAGCTATGGTTAACATGACTACAGCTCAGACAGATTTCTGGACCAGTCGACACCACCTGCCTCTCTTCATACGGTCAGTTGCTTCACACACTGATCACATACTTGTAGCAGATACCCCTTTCCCACCGAAGCGGTTCCAGGGCCAGTTTGGAGAACCGAAAACATCAGGATTAATAAACCTGAGCAAAAATAGTTAATGCGAGTACAGGGAAGAGAATAAAGCTGTAACAAGCAGTAGCGCTGAGCAAAGTGACTAGAAAGCAACCACGCACTTAAAAACACAAATACTGTATATAAAGTCAGGCAATAGTGAACCGCAGTGACGCGTCCTAAAACCCGGAAGTAAGTTTGCATTGTTACCACTTCCTTCGACAAAAAGCAATGCATTTTCTCCATAGGATTTTGGAAAATATCTGAAATAAGGTCTGTGGTTGGCACACATTGAAGAGACAGATCACATTTTGTTCTACGACATTAAATACATCAGCAGTGACCCCACTGGTGATTTTTGATGAGTTTACATGTCTGAAAAACGATGGTTGTTAACATGTGGCCGAATAGGACTACAGAAGTTGTCGAGGCCGTTGTACGTCATTACGCCAAAAACGTAAACACTCCCGCTAAGTTTGTTTGCCCTGTTCTGCTTGAAAGCAAGTACCTGCGCTCTTGCAAACTGTTAAAACAAACGCTTCAAATTGTACAATTTTGAATCTGTAGTTTTGAATATGGATCTTAAGCTGGCGTGACGTTGAAGCAGCGACCCTGCTGTAGTTCGTTTATAGCATAACATTAGCATTTTGCTTCTGGCGACTAGATTTATGATTCGAAAATTATAAAAGTAGTGTAGACATGTGGATATTATCCGGCTGAACAAAACGTGATCTGTTTCTTAAATGTGTGTCAACCACAGACCTTATTTCGAGCTATTTTCCAAAATCCTATGGAGAAAATTGCATTGGTTTTTGACGAAGGAACCGGAAGGAGTTTTACATCCGGGTTTTAGGACGCGTCACTGTGGTTCTCTATTGCCTTTTTTAGCTAGCAGGCTAATTTTCAGCAGGAAGACGAATTAAACACGCTTATGACGGACAGCATTTTTTTCAGCAGGTCAAACTGACTAAACTTAAGAGGTCTGCATCTTTTTAAAGCAGTTAAATGTTTCACCTGACCAAACAGTATCTACCCTGCAGAGTAATC